AACTTCCAGACAAATTCAAGCTGACCTTCAGGCACAAGATACAACTGTGTCAGCTCGCCCAATACATTGTCATCTGAATGAAAAGGGACACTATGGCAGGAAACCCAGGAGGACCCCACTGCTGACAGAGAAACAAAAATGCCAAATTGGAGTTTGCCAAAACTTACCTGAAAAAGCCAAAATGCTTTTGGAAGAATGTGCTGTGGACAGACGAAACAAAATGACAGCGGTTTGGTAAAGCCCATCATTTTACTGTTTTCAGAAAAAGAAATGAGGCCTTTAACCACTTGCCCTCCAGAAGATTTACCCCCCTTCCCGACCAGGCCATTTTTTGCGTTACGGACCTGCGTTACTTTAACTGACAAATGTGCAGTCATGCAACACTGCACACAAATGAAATGTACATCCTATTTTTCCCACAAATTGAGCTTTCTTTCGGTGGTATTTGATAGTCTGTGTGTTTTTTTATTTTTTGCATTATAAAAAAAAAAGACCGACACTATTGAGGAAAAAAAACATATTTTTGACTTTTTGCTATTAAACGTGCAGTAAAAAAATTTAAAAAATCAAATTTCGTCATAAATTTAAGTCAAAATGTATTCTGCTACATGTCTTTGCTAAAAAAATATCCCAACACGTGTAAACTAATTGGTTTACGTGAAAGTTATGGTGTCTACAAATGGCGGTATATATACTGGGATTTTTTTTTTTTACATTTTTACTAGTAATAGTGGCGATCAGCGACTTATAACGGGACTGCGGTGGGCATTCTGACACGGGGAGGAACTGACTTGGTGTCACTGGGGATGTCAGTGCTAATAAAAAGCACTGACATTGTACTAATGGCACTGGGCAGGAAGGGGTTAACATCTGGGGTGATCAAAGGGATCACTGTGTGCTGTTTCACTATGGGGCTAAGTATGTGTGCTTCCCTGTGCTGTGCAGAGCCATGCAAAGCAGTGTGCAGGAACTGAGAGGGAGGAGAACTGTTTTGTTTACTAACAGTTCTCCCCCCCCATCGGAGATCCTCAGCAATTACCGCGCGCCAGCAAGTAATCACCAGCCCCAGGACCCGGTGACTGACAGCCGTGGCCATGAATGGCGGTGCAGGTAGAGCCAGCACGTGCCCCCTACCCGGAAATGAAAAATCACGTTTATATTTATGTGATTTTGCGCTCCCGTGCTGCCCTGTAGAAGTACTTCTGCTATAGGGTGGACGGGAAGCTGTTAAAGAAAAGAATACAGTCCCTACAGTCACACATGGTGGAGGTTCACTGGTGTTTTGGGGTTGCTTTGCTGCTTCAGGCACTGGATGTCTTGACCATGTGCATGGCATTATGAAATCTGAAGACTACCAAAGAATTCTGGGGTGCAATGTAGGGCCAAGTGTTAGGAAGTTGGGTCTCCATCAGAGGTCATGAGTCTTATAGAAGGACAATGACCCAAAGCACATGTCAAAAAGCACCCAGGAATGGTTTCTGACAAAGCACTGGAGAGTACTGAACTGGCCGGTAATGAGTCCAGATCTCAGTCCCATAGAGCACTTGTGGAGAGATCTCAAAACAGCAGTTGGGAAAAAGAACCCTTCCAATCTGAGAGACCTGGAGCAGTTGGTGAAAGAAGAGTGTCCATAATGCCAGTAGTGAGGTGTAAGAAACTCATTGATGGTTACAGAAAACCATTGATTTCAGTTATTTTTTCCAAGGGGTGTGCTACCAAATATTAAATTGAGGGTGATATTAGTTGGGTGTACACAGTTAATAGAAGATATTAGAGGAGTGTACACAGTACATAGGAAATATTAGAGGGGTGTGCACAGTACATAGGAGATATTAGAGGGGTGTACACAGTACATAGGAGATATTGGTGGGGGTGTGCACAGTACATAGGAGATATTAGAGGGGTGTACACAGTACATAGGAGATATTAGAGGGGTATACACAGTACATAGGATATATTAGTGGGGGTGAGCACTGTACATAGGAGATATTACTGGGTCTATACACTGTCACGGAGCTGGTCCTTCCTCCCCCATCCTCTAGGTTTGCTGCCTGCCACCCCCCACTCCTCAGTAGCCCCTCACTCTTCTGTCCCATCCATGCTGGGACATCTAGTCCTCCGTGTCTCTTACACAGGCAGCCCTCAGCAGCCCCTCACCCCCCTGTCCCTTGCAGCCTGGCCCCCTGCTGAGGGAATCCACAAACAGGCCCCCCTCCTCCCTTCCCCGTCATGCACATCTTCCATGCCAGAGGCTGTGTTGCCTGGGAGGATCTGGAGACCTGGGAGAAAGGACCCGTTGTCATGGTAACCCGACAGGAAGTTTCAGGTTACCACTGCAGCAGCAAGGCGCCCAGCTACCTACTTAAGAGAGAGCAAGGAAAACCCCTCTTGTGTTCTCCTGGCTGCATGTGTGTATGTGTGAGAAGGCTCTGCTGAGCGCCAGCTTCTCTCATACGACCATCCCCGTCCTCCTCCTCATCTCCCTGGCTGACCAGACTGTCCGTCTGCTGCTGGATCCTCTCCGGTGTGTGGGGTGAACTCTCTGCTGACTGAAACCTCTTCCCTGGCTGGACTTACCTCTTGTTCCCTGTGAGCCTGCGGACTGGACATTTTCCTTGGCTGGACTTACCTCTTGCTCCCTGTGAGCCTGCGGGCTGGACATTTTCCCTGCCTGGATTGAACTCTTTGTTGCCCGTGAGCCGAACAGACTTAACCCTTCCCTGCCTGGAGCTGCCTGTGTGGATTAACCCTGTGTTGCTGGGTGTGGACTGTAGCCCACTGTGTCCTGCTGCTCCCCGCATCCAGTAAGTGGACTAACCCCATGCTGCCCAAAAGACTGAGCCCAATTCTCCCCAGGAACCTGAAGTCCCACAAAGCTACCCTGCCCTTGCCTTACTACACCCTGTGGATTACCATACCCCTGTTGTTCCATATTGCCTCCCAAAGAACTGTACTGTGTTACTGTGTCCGGTGTGGATCTGTGGACTAACGGAACTGTGCCCCAAAAACTTCCCCAATAAACGCTGCACGTTGGGTTCCGTGCAATCTGTCTCTGTGTGCTCTCTGGTTCTCTTGACACACAGTATATATTAGATTTCATTGGGTCTATACACAGTACATAGGAGATATTACTGGGGGTGTGCACTGTATATAGGAGATATTAATGGGGGTGTGCACAGTATACAGGAGATCTCAGTGGGGGTGTGCACAATATACAGGAGATATCAGTCGGGGTGTGCACGGTATACGGGAGATATCAGTGGGGATGTGCACGGTATACGGGAGATATCAGTGGGGGTGTGCACACTATACCGGAGATATCAGTGGGGGTGTGCACACTATACGGGAGATATCAGTGGGGGCATGCACTGTATATAGGAGATATCAGTGGGGGTGTGCACTGTATATAGGAGATATCAGTGGGGGTGTGCACGGTATAGAGGAGATATCAGTGGGGGTGTGCACGGTATACAGGAGATATCATTGGGGTTGTGCACCGTATACAGGAGATATCAGTGGGGTGTGTACGGTATATAGGAGATATCAGTGGGGGGTGTGCACGGTATATAGGAGATATTAGTGGGGGTGTGCACTGTATATAGGAGATATTAGTGGGGGTGTGTGCATGGTATATAGGAGATATTAGAGGAGTGTGTGCACAGTATATGAGATATCAGTGGGGGTGTGAACAGTATATAGGAGATATCAGTGGGGTGTGTACTACAGGAGATATTAGTGGTGGTGTGTAGATATATAGAGATATAGTGGTGGTGTGCACGTATACGTGAATATCAGTGGGGGGGGGGGGTGTATATACGGAGATATCAGTGGGGGTGTGTACGGTATATGAGAGATATCAGTGGAGGTGTGCACAGTATATGGGAGATATCAGTGGGGGTGTGCACAGTATATGGGAGATATCAGTGGGGGTGTGCACTGTATATAGGAGATATCAGTGGGGGTGTGCACTGTATATAGGAGATATCAGTGGGGGTGTGCACGGTATATAGGAGATATCAGTGGGGGTGTGCACTGTATATGGAGATATCAGTGGGGGTGTGCACTGTATATGGGAGATATCAGTGGGGGTGGTATATATGGGAGATATCAGTGGGGGTATCACTGTGCACTGTATATAGGAGATATCAGTGGGGGTGTGCACAGTATATAGGAGATATCAGTGGGGGTGTGCACAGTATATGGGAGATATCAGTGGGGGTGTGCACTGTATATGGGAGATATCAGTGGGGGTGTGCACTGTATATGGGAGATATCAGTGGGGTGTGCACTGTATATGGGAGATATCAGTGGGGGTGTGCACTGTATATAGGAGATATCAGTGGGGGTGTGGGAGACAGTGGGGGTGTGCATGTATATAGGAGATATCAGTGGGGGTGTGCACAGTATATAGGAGATATCAGTGGGGGTGTGCACTGTATATGGGAGATATCAGTGGGGGTGTGCACTGTATATGGGAGATATCAGTGGGGGTGTGCACTGTATATGGGAGATATCAGTGGGGGTGTGCACGGTATATAGGAGATATTAGAGTGTGTGCACAGTATATGAGATATCAGTGGGGTATACAGGAGATATCACGGAGCCTGTGCACGGTATACAGGAGATATGAGTGAGGTGTACACGGTATACAGTGAGGTGTACACGGTATACAGGAGATATCAGGTGTACATGGTATACAGTGAGGTGTACACGGTATACAGGAGATATCACGGAGCCTGTGCACGTTATACAGGAGATATGAGTGAGGTGTACACGGTATACAGGAGATATGAGTGAGGTGTACACGGTACATGATAGTGGCGGGCTCCGGAACACTGTGTAGGACACACACACACCACACTCTCCCCTCTGTCTATGCACAGACAATCCTTGCGGAGTAGGCGGGGACTTTGGACCGGAAGCCGAGCTGTGGCCGCAGCGGAAGTGTGCTCAGGTGCTGAAGCCGGTGTTCTCATATTGTACAGAGCACGCCGGGAATCATGTCCAATCCGAGCCCGAGCAATAAGCCGTCCGACCCCGGCAATCCGCGGGTGTTCTTTGATATAGATGTTGGAGGGGAGCCAGGTGAGAATGAATGGACGCCATCTTCACCAGTCCGGCCAGTCATTGAATGGCATCTCCCCGAGACCTCTGGCCAGAGTGATGTGCAGGGGTGGGGGGCGCACAGGCCCAGCACCGTCCTCTGTGTGGGGGCTGGCTGGGTCTTGTAGTCCCTGTGTTGGTATAGGATGACCCCATGGTGTACGTGGAGTCGCTCAGCACACTGCCATGTGTGTCCTCCCCTCCATTGTGTGGTCTGTCCTAGTCCTCAGTGTAGAGCCATGCTTGGAATCAGAAGCACGTGGGCTGCACTAGTCCAGTATTTCTCGGTGTCCGCCTCCTGTATGTGGACAGTGTGATCTCATCATTACATAGGTCATGTCATTTCTGACAGTGACCCCCCATTGGGGAGATTACCCCTCACTTCCTGTCCTTTTGTTTCCATTACAATAAATGGGGGAAGGCCTTTCCAGGACAGGAAGGCACAGACAGCAGCGAAAACGTCACAAGTGTTACCCCTTCCCTATCCCCCAGATCATGTCAGACTTTGCCACCACTAGAGAGATTTGCAGTCACTTTCTGCCCTGAAACAAGTGATGTTGGTGGAAGTAATAGGCTGAATTCACACTGACTTGCCATAAAATGCAGGGAAAATCTATGTACATTTCCATCCATTTTCAGTGCGTTTGGATGTGCTTTGATGCATGTTAAAATGCATTGCATTTTGTAGGATTTCCTGTGACATCACACCCTGTGGGTCACAAAAATCACAAAGCAATTTTTTTTTCTTTGCTTAATTGTGTAAAAAGGCAGTTTGAGCCTGTTTTCTCTGATCCTCCCCTTGTTCAAATTTCCAAGTCTCTTCTGATAAGACAAGCTGAACCCTAGCCATTCAGCACATGCTCAGTTTAGTGTGTTTTGCTAGTTTTTTTTTCTTGCATGTGATCAGCACTGTCCAGACAAGAGGTCAGGGGTTTTGCATCCTCCTAGAGCAGAAAGAAAACTCCTTCTACAAGCTTTAACCAGTACTCTGCTGAACACTGATAGAAGTCACATGACTGCTCTAACTGCTGATGAGAAAAGGTATTTAGCAGTTTATATTTACTAAAATTATTGCATTTCCATGTTCTGTGTACTGTGGGAGACCAGATATAGTGAATGCAGGGTCCTGGGTTTAGTAACACTTTAGTTGCATTGACCTGCCCTTTACATGTGTTGATCTTTGTTCACCCAGTGTTGTAGTGTGAACAGGACACATGCAAAACCGTTTCTTTTAGGTGTACCTGCATGTTAGAGCTGCGCTGAAATGCAGATCAACACGCTAGTGTGAATTTGCCATAAAGGAAAGGAAACACTGACAATGGGGGTCAGCAACTGGTCAGTCTCGCTCTCAGCGCTCACATTACAGCTGATTATCTCTGATTGGCTGAGTAGTGGAGTTGCAATTGACTGCCAAGTGTTTACCTGACCTTGGCATAGTGGACTGCTGCTAGAACCATAAGGGAGAACAATCAGTCATAATGGGGCACAGCAAGGGCTTCATAAAGGCAAGGTATGGGTGCTGCTATGACTCAGGGTGAGAACCTTGTTGGGTGTCATCTACACTTCATTGGTGTTACTTGTACTGACATCTGAGCCCCCCTGCATGCTGCAGTGACAGGCTGAACTCAGTCCCAGGGTTGGATCAGGGCCAGTATGTTCTGACCACAATGTAAAAAGCCGTTTTGTGGTTTCTAGGTATGTAAAGCAGATTACAGAGAAGAATAACTTCCCAGCAAAATGTACTCATCTTTCTTCACTTCTGTGTAGCTCTGTTTAGCTACCAGGACAGAAAGCTGTGTAAGCTCCTAACTGAATATCTGAAGCTACACACATACCTTCCCTACCCCTATAACAGCACTGTACCTATTACTGGGCATGGAGGATTAAGTCACATGATCAACCATACCCTGTATACTGAGGAGGGCAATCTGACACTAACAGATGCTGGCTGAAAGGTATACTGACACTGATATCACCAGCGGCACTAATACAGTGATAATGCTATACACTGTAACAACTAATAACACTGGCTGGAAAGGGGTTAAAATCTTGGGTTAATCGAGGGGTTAAGTGTGTTTCAAACAAGTGTTAATGTGTGCTGATTCTACTAAATATTTGTTTGTTCCTTCTCCCTGGTTTTCAGGGAGAAGAAACCGATTGCCCCCTCTGTATAGAGCCCAGTGTGCTTGTCAACATAGGGCTCTGGGCTGTGATTGGGTACAATTGATCTGCAGGCCTCATCCATGACTCATTGGCTGAAACCTGTTGACAAAATCCTGCTGTGTGAGATTTGGGAAGGGGGTGGGGGCGTGTTCTGAACCCAGAAGGAGCAGTCGGCGTATAGGTAAGTGATTGTGCCTGTTCGAGCCACCCGCCCGCAGTGATTTTACAAGTCGACAAGTAAAGTGTTAATCCTATGGGGTCCCTTGCCTGAGATCTTTGCTCCTCTTCTTCTTTGTGTGCCCCCATAGCAGGCCACTTGCTATGGGGGCACACTGTGTACTCGCTCCTGAGCTGGTTGTGTCTATGGAGTTGTGATCCACCCCCTACTTTCTCCTCACAGCATTTGATTTACAGCAGCAGGAGCCAATGGTTCCCACTGCTGCAAGAGTTCCTGTGTGAAGAGGGAGAGGGGAGAGAACAAATCCAGCCGTACACAGCTCTGGATCGATTGAGCACTCTGGTAAATATTTAGGGAGGTGAGGGAGGACAGAAATCCTTAAGATGTTTATCATAATGGAGGCAGTACATTAAGGTAAATAATGTTTTGTCTTTAGAAACACTTTAACGACTAACCTAACGGGCACTTTTACCCCCTTCCTGCCCAGGCCATTTTTCAGCTTTCAGCGCTGTCGCGCTTTGAATGACAATTACGCGGTCATGCAACACTACCCATATGAAATTTTTACAATTTTTTTTCCACACTAATAGAGCTTTCTTTTGGTGGTATTTAATCACCTCTGGGTTTTTTATTTTTTGCTAAACAAAGGAGAAAATACTAATTTTTTTTCTAAGATTCTATTATAAAATTTTGCAAACAGGTAATTTTTCTCCTTCACTGATGTGTGTTGATGAGGCTGCACTGATGAGCACTGATAGGCTGCACTGGTGGGTACTGATGAGGCTGCACTGGTGAGCATTGATGAGGAAGCACAGATTGGCAGCACTGCTGGGCACTTTTGGGGCTGCCCTGATAACCAGTGCCCTGATTACCAGTGTAGATGTCTCCTTTCAGACTTGCCGATTATCGGCAGTACTTTCCTCACACTGTGACAGCATGAGTTAAGTACTGCTAATAACCGGCAAGTGTATTTACGTGGTGATCAGCTGTGGTTGACGTGGTTTTTACGTGGTGACACAGCTGATCACTTGGTAAAAGGCTGCTGTGATTGGCCCTTTCCCATGTCCTGTGATCAGCTGTGTCCAAAGGATACAGTGGTCAGAGAACAAGGGGTGTGTGCCATGGGCGGGGGGGGGGGGGGGGGTTTGGGAGGACATCATACGACACCCTCCCAGAACTGGAAGAATGCATTGTAGTCGTCATTTGGCTACAGCACAGTCTGGAAGAGGTTAATGTATGAGTGCTGGAACTGTCAGTAGCAGCACCCAAAGAAGGCCACTGCCAGTAAATTCGAACTGTAAGTTACTAAGATTTGACCAGCAATAGGGTAATCAGTGTTTGGAGCTTATTTCTTTATGTGTCTATGGCAAAAACTTTTTTTTTTTTTTTTTTTTGAAGTCTAATCTAAAATGCAGCATTACTGCCAGAAGCTCATAATAGGCATGATAAATGTGGTTGCTGAAACCAATTTTTCTAATTAATAAAATAATTAACAGGGATGGCTTTAATAACCAGTTTCCTTCATTTTTTTTAAAGTCCTATTAATAAAAGTAGTATACAAAAAAGGGAATTTTATTGTCTCCTCCAAAAAATATGACAAGATGGGGAAACCAGCAATAAAGGGACTGGTTAGATTATAAGAAGTAACAATTTCATTTTTTCAAATAGAGAGGGAACCCTGCATGTCTTGTTTTTCTGACTGTGCATTATAGTTCATTATATTTCTTATTTGACTGTCATTTATAGACGATGTATGCATTTTTTGTTTTTAGTTGGTCGTGTTGTGCTGGAACTGTTTGCAGATGTTGTTCCTAAAACAGCGGAGAACTTCCGAGCTCTGTGCACTGGGGAGAAAGGTATAGGGAAGACAACAGGAAAGCCTCTGCATTTCAAAGGATGCCCTTTCCATAGGAGTAAGTGTTTTTAAAGAAGGCATTTATAAGTTATGTTTTATCAAGAGATGCTTACTGTATCTAAAAAAAAACAGTGTTTACTTTTTTCTTTTATTTACACTTTTATTTTATTTTTTTAGTTATCAAAAAATTCATGATTCAGGGTGGAGATTTCTCAAACCAAGATGGAACTGGTGGCGAAAGTATATATGGAGAGAAGTTTGAAGATGAAAACTTTCTTTATAAGGTAGCTGCAATATTACAAAGACTATTTTTGTTTTCTATTAATATAAAAATAAAGTGATGATAAAGGGAATTATTTTTTCTTAAATATAAGAAACATGTTATACTTACCTGCTCTGTGGATTGGTTTTGCACAGAGCAGCCCAGATTCTTTTCTTGGGTCTCCGACCTGCACTGCTGGCCCCTCTCGCCACGTGTCCCCAGAGCAAGCAACTTGCTATGGGGTCACCCAAGCCGCTGCTCTGCCTGTTGATTTATACACAGAGCTGCGTCTCGGCCCCATCTCTCTCTCCTCATTGGCCCATGGCTGTGATTGACAGCAGCGGCTCCAGCGAGAGTCCCTGGAGAGCCAAGGCTCTCGTGCACATTCCTGGATCACGATGGGGCTCGGGTAAGTAAGTCCTGTCTGCCACTGCTGATGAGCACCCTTGTAGTTCATTGACACTTCCTCTTACACTTTCTAACAGCCCATACAGAGGTGTGGGAAGGAATGACTGGAGGGGGAGGGTACAGGAGCCCGACATTGCATCCGCCATCCACTGGTCGCAGATGCAATGCTTGGCAGATTCCTGGGGGAAATAGTAATAAGTGTGCGTCTTCTTTTTTTTTTTTTCCTTGCAAAATTATATGCATTTAATTTTTTCCTCAAAGGTGATCTTAGCCTTTTAACCACTTCAAGTCCAGTCCCTTCCACTCCCCCCTTCCTGGCCAATTTTCAGCTTTCAGCACTGTCACACTTTGAGTGACAATTACTCTTGCATGACTGTACCCATGATATATTTTATCATTTTTTGAGACAGAGCTTTCTTTTAGTGGTATTTAATCGCCACTGGGTTTTTGTTTTTTTTTGCTATATTAATGAAAATAACTTTTTTTGCTTAGTTTGGTTAAGAAAGGATTATTTCTTTGCAAAATTTTATAAGTTTTAGGCAAAATGTACTCTGCTACATTTTTTGGGTAAACATAACCCAAAGCAATGTATATTTTTTTTTAGTCTGTAAGAAAGTCTACAAACTATGGGATATATATTTGAAAATTGAAAATACTGTAGAAGCACCGGTTATGTTACCAACGCATGCGCACTGCACTCTCAATGGTCGGCGTGCCGTCCGTTGAGCCATGCCGCTGCCAAAACTCTCTTCGCGCATGCACGGAAGTGCTTTGGCCAATCCAATGGCCACAGCTCGCGAACTCGAAAAGAAGACTGGGTGAAGATGGAAGCCTTGGGGAGCCATGACAGTGTTCCGCTGGATGGCTTCATTTTCAGGTAAGTCTTACATAATGTGCTAGTATGTGATGCATACTAGCACATTATGCTCCTAACTTGCAGGGAGAAGATTTTTTTTTTTTTTAGAATTTTTTTGGAGGGGCGGTTTACTACCACTTTAAGACTGGATACTTCGAGACAAGAGCAGAGGCCTCCAGTGAGTTATGCTGCAGGTATATGGTTTGCTCAACTAACCCCTATTTGTGATTTAAATAAATGCAAGGAAACTGAAGTCAGAAATGTTTTGGTTAGGTCATTATTTTCCTAATAAATTATCTTGTGTTCATTTCTCTCTTCAGCATGACAGGGAAGGCTTGCTCAGTATGGCTAATGCAGGACCAAACACCAATGGCTCTCAGTTCTTCATCACAACTGTGACGACACCCCACTTGGATGGGAAACATGTTGTATTTGGCCAAGTGCTTAAAGGGTATGGCATTGTAAAAATGCTGGAAAATATTGAACTTCAGGGTGAACAGCCTAAGAAGGTAAGCTGCCATGCATAAGTATTTCTAAAATGAAACCTTGCAGTTTTAGTGAAATGTTACAGTAACATACAGTAAAACCATAAAATAAAAGTGAGAATGGAAATGGTAACCTTTCTAAATATTTGTTCTGGTCAACACCAGGACATGTAACCAGTGCATTGGTTAGGTGGTCTATGCTGAAGACCTGCTGTGACTGGCAGTTAGTGTTTCTTTGCCAGTTCCACTGAATCTTTCTGCAGGGACTTCATGGCCGGTGACTTGGCATTGGACCCTCTGCATAAAAGGGTTCTAAGGACAAACCTTTACATTTATTGAACATTTAAAAAAATTCTACTTTTTTAGTGAAGTTCCTGTATAGGAACTTGCTTTACGTTTCCACAGGTTATGCTGTCTATAATGGGCTGGTTTTGATAGACGATTGTCGCTTTTAACTAACCTAGTTTTCTTTTATTTATCAGCCATGTGTAATAGCAGAATGTGGAGATTTCAAAGATGGAGATGAGTTGGTCATGGCTCCTTCAGATGGTTCTGGTGACATTCATCCTGACTTCCCAGAGGACTCTGATGTTGAATTAAATGATGTATGTAATTTTATACAAGTAAATAAATCTCTCATAAACAGTATTTTAAGTGTCTGGATGAGACCCATGTATGTAGATGGGAAAAGTACTACAGTGCACAAACATCTATGTACACATGGGTTATAGTTTGCCTAGAATACAACTCCTCCTTACTCTGCTTAACAGGTTGAAAAAATTGTCAGTATTGCTGAAGATGTCAAGAACATTGGGAATAGTTTATTCAAGTGCCAGAACTGGGAGATGGCAATAAAGAAATATAATAAAGCTCTAAGGTATGTTATGGTGTGCAAAAATGATTTACAGCTTACCTGGATAATAAATGCATTCTTCTAATTTTTAATGAATATCTTTTTAATGAATTGGCTAGGTGAGATGTTTGCAATCATGTATTTTACTCCTCACGGAGTTCAGGCACCATTTTTAAGTCTAAATAGAGAAGTCATCTTGGCAGTTGCCCCATATTTTAGGCAATAGGATGAGCTTGTGTTTGAACACTTATGTTGCAATAAGCTATCTCAGCCTGTTTGGGTAAGTATATGCAAATAGTTCCCTGCACCTTGGTTCTGGCATTGTGGCGGTTCTATCACTGGATTGAACAACCAAAACTCCTGTGCTTTTTGGTTGGTGGGGCTTGGTATCAAATTCTACATGGTGCCCTGAATAAGTATTCATTCCCTTGGCATTTTCCAAGTTTTTAATGTTTTTACAATAAAAAAGCTTTTTGCAAATTCAAGTTGTAAATATATCAATAAAAAAGAGAAATTGGGGTCCGTTCTTCCAAGTAGTGTTCAGCTGGGACCTAGGGGCTCCCTGGTTGCCTAAATACTGGTTTGAACATCAACATAAACACTTACTAGAGCCGCAGGTGTCTGCATTCTAGTTTTACTGTTTGTTTGGACACCTTATAGCATAATTGTAAAGTCATATTAATGTCCAATTTTTATCTTATTTTCTAGATATGTAGAGAGCTGTAAAGATGTCACCGGAGATGACAACATTTCAAAGTTAAATCCTATTGCTGTAAGCTGTAATCTGAATATTGGAGCTTGTAAGCTGAAAATGTCTGATTTCAGAGCTGCAATCGAAAGCTGCAAAGAGGTATTTTATTTATAACAGCATTACACAGACCATTCTGGGAAAGCCTTGGTGACTGAGTTATTTGAAATCAAACTCAGTTCGATTACAGTCCTTCACAAACTATATGAGTCCACTGATCACTTATTACAAAGGTAAAAAAAAAAGTATTTTGGAGCTGACCAGCCGGTATTGAGTCAATATGTGGTTTTAGGAGAGCAGGGAAAATGTACCACCAATCTAAAACAATAGATGCTTTATTTAACTTGCAATGGCTACCTGGCTCCCTGGATTTCCCACGCCATACTTTGCCAGATAGGTACAGTGACTTTTTGGGGAAACCCGATAAATAAATGAAGTAAATAGCTCCAATGTTTTTTTTTGTTTTTCATGTTGCCTATAAGTCCCAGACACTATTAGTGAAGGTGATAAAGTATCCAAAAACAATGACATCTTGTAGCCCAGTAATCTGTGGTTATGCCGCAGCAGCTGTAAGGAAGATCAGCAAGATATTCCAGTTATATCCTGTACTATAAATTTTTACAAATTTGATTTATCAAAGATTGCATAGAATGAAGTTACTGTGTTTTAGAAAGAAATGCCTTTGCATGTTATATTTTTTGTTTCCCCCCCCACAAGGCTCTTGAAATCGATCCCTCTAACACAAAGGCTCTTTATAGACGGGCCCAAGGTTGGCAGGGATTGAAAGACTATGAACAAGCACTGGTGAGTTATTACATTTTGAATATGTGTAGGCTTACAGTGCAATTCCTATGAAATGTGTGATGACTGATTCCTGTTCTGTTGTAGGAGGATCTTAAAAAGGCACATGAGTTTTCCCCAGAGGATAAAGGTACATTTTATGTTCGTTTTAGCTTGCGTCTGTGTGTAGAACTAACACTAAATGGAGAATTTTGAGCCTTTTGTAATTGTTAGCTAAACCAATTGACAGTGGCTTAGTTTGGGTGTTGATTTTCCTAGTCTAGGTACTTGCATATGCTATTTTCAGTGGCACCATTGTCTACATACTGAGCTACTAGGCAACCATGTCCTGTGTGAGTTAAATCACATAAAACTGTACAAGATAAATGTTGCTTTTTTTTTTTTTTTTTTTTTTTTTTTTTTTCACTTTTACACACTTAAAAAATTTCAGTGGTAGAGTTTTGGTTTAAAGTATAACTAAAGGCAAAAATGTTTCTTTTGTTTGTTTGCAACAGAGTGAGCGGGATTAGAACCCCTCTCAGTTTTTATCGCTCTCTGTGCCCCTGTTAGGGAGATTCACTGTTTGTCCTATTTACCATTATCATTTGAAAGTTAAAGTAAAAGAAATTCCCAAATATTGGGTTGTCCCCAGAAAAGTAGTACGGGAGGGGAAATCTTCCAATGGGGACACTAGTTCTGGTTACTCAGGGGTACCCAAGGAATCCCCTTACTTTCTGTTTGGCTATGGAGCAGGAGGTGAAGAGAAATCTCTGCAATGGTACACAGATTGCGAAAAATCTGACAGGGGTTATAACCTTCCTTTGCACTAGAAGAAATGTTTTCCCCTATAGTTCTACTTTATAGTGGGACTCCAGGCACATGTGTGGTGTGTTTTTGTTTTGTTGTTTTTTTCTCCCAGGTGTGTATATAAAAGTTAACTGTGATGTGAATTTCATTGTCTGATCACTAACTTTTTGTTTGTGTCATATGCGACAGCTCCCTCTGTAGTTCAAGTGGTTCTAAAGTCTTGATTATTTTCTTTTTCTTACTTTTAAAATACTAAACAAATTTTACTCGCCTGGTCTGTGCTGCCCCGATTCTCCTCTTCTCAGGACCCCTGCAGGTGCTTCTGGTCTCTCCCTCTTGCTCCCAAGCTGTCTTGTGTATCTATGGGACACACAGAGTGTGGCTCAGTCCTGCCTCCTGCTCTCTCCTCACTGGCTGTAGCAGCAGGAGCCAGTGAGGGTCTCAGCCAGTGAGGAGAGAGAGATCCGGGAAAGCCGCTATTCTTGTGCACATCTTTGGATTGGGATCAGGATTAAGTAAATATTGGGGGGGGGGGGGGGGGGGGGGGGGGGGGGACGACTGCACACTGAAGGTCTTTTTCTTCATTCATAGAATGCATGAAGGTAAACCTTCACCCTTTAGAACCACTTTCACCCCACTGCAGCTCATGCTATTGTCTTTTATCTGCACTTCTTTTTCTAGGGCCATTCACAGAGTGCCTTGTATTTTATGAAAGGTACATAGAATACCAATCATTTTGTGAAGGCCCAAGGAGAGGTTAGGAGGGGCAGGTAAAAGTCACTAGCATGGGTCAAAATTACAAAGGGAACTGTAATATGCAATGTAAATGAATATGGTGACGGGACTTAAAACTAGTCACTGGCAGACACTGTATAAACCAGCATTTGGATCTATAACACAGGGCTTAAAATTTCAAGTCCTGAGCTACTAGCCAGGCCTTAAGAGTTACTTGCCACCAGTTGCCCCACCCAACCCCTACCCTGCTACACCCCTAATTCCGCCCCTAAACACGCCCCTTTATAAATTATTTCATGAAATTACACTGTTAAATGTTACCCACATTACATCAGAGTCCCCAGAGTCCCCCCACATTACATCAGGTCCTCCAATGTCCCCCTAAACACTCCATCATATTTAGACCATGCAGGCGTTTTCATTGAATTGAGTGCTGGCATTGGCATGCTGAGCAAAGTTGGCATCTGCTTGCTGCATAGGTTTTTTGGCACCTGGCAAGCTGGAGTAGAATTTTGACACACCTAGGATCTGTTGGCTACTGCAGCTAGTTTATGTACCATTTACAAGGGCTGTCTGCATAGGAACTACTACATCTACTTTTCCTTTCATTTGGGCCAAGCTGGCACAAATGATCAGTTCCCTTTACTAATTGATGCAGCTGTCTATCTGCTGCTGGAACAAAATCGAGTTGGGTAAAGAGCTGGTGAAGCCTTTTGTTCACTCTGTACATGCAATGTATACAGCGGGGGACATCAATTTGTGCTTTCAAGTAGAACTAAAGCAAAACTTTTTTTTTTTTTCTTTCATTTTGGATAGAGTAAGGGAGACCAGTAATCCCTGTCAGTGTTTCTTTTTGTTTTTTTCTTGCTATCTGTGTCCTATTGGGGAGATTCCTCTTCTTTCTTCTCCCCCCCCCCATCCATAGGCAAAACAGGAAGTGAGGGGAAGTCCCTCCAAACTGAGGGAATCCTGGTTGTTACCAGAGATAGTGTCTTCATTGGAAGATTTGCTCACTATTCCTGTTATGGTGACAACACGACATTTTAGGATTTTCTTTCACTCTCTGTGATAACTGTAACCAGGACAAATGGGGTGAATCTCCCTAATGGGGACACAGATGGCAATAAAAACCTAACAGGCGTTCTTAATTCCTCTCCACTCTATCCAAAACTAAATGTTTTATCTTTTATACTTTAAACCTTGTCTCCATGCCACACAGTATTGATTTGATGCCATGTTTGTGGTAGTAGGATTCTGCTTTATATAGTGCAGACCAGCACTTCGTGTTATGACTTGGAATTCTGAGCAGGTTTTGATCTGTTGCCAGGTTCATTTACCCGAATACGGTCTTTGCTGTATATAATGTAATTTGGTCTGTGACTTATTGGGAAATGTTGCTATAGATGATGGATTGCTGTCATCATTTTCTTACTGCCACAGTATGTTCTGTCCTTTCACCCGATCTCTGTTCTTGCAGCTATCAGCAGTGAAATCCTTCGGGTCAAGCACAGAATCAAAGAACAGAAGGAAAAAGAAAGAGCTGTCTATGCAAAAATGTTTGCATAACTATGTTTACATTAAACTGGGCATGCAGAGTTCTGAAATCTATGGTATCTGGGTGCAAAAGAGCTGTATGCGGCAACCCTGTGATATTAAACCAAAAAACTTTTTCATAGGTTTTCAACACAGGTGTGATGTTTCACCTAAGTGTTATTGACGGTTTACATTTTTTTGGCTATCTTTTAATATTTTTCTTTTGTGACACTGCATGAACTATGCAAAAAGTGATATGTGCAGTGTAACATTTAATTTGTGATTTGGCTTCTGTTAGTATTGCTTAGTCTTATTTTGTGTGACAGTGAAGGAGGAAGGCTTATTGTTTCCTGTGTACCTTTTTTAGAGGGCAATGACAGTTCTGTGTTAATAGCATAATGTGATTTTGCTCATAAACATGAGTAAAGATTAAACCTGTTACTGTCTTTCTTAATAAAGACTGTTACTGCTCTATGTGTTTTTTGTTTTGTACACCTCAGTGTGTCAGATTTAAACACGGCTGAGTTTGAGCTTATTGATGTTTCAGTAATATTGAGGAAAGGAGTTTTACACTACTGTTTACAAAAATGACAGCAAAAATTTTAGAGTGGTTAATTTCCTCTTATTAGCCCTTGGTTAAATGGAGAACTGTTTAAAAGCTGGTATCTGTGTTTAGCAGTGGCCTGATTAGGGACTGGGTGCTACCGTATGATACTCATTCTGCATGACTTACAGTATTCCCTATCAGTGTTTGTTTATCCGCTTGTCTACCAAGGTACTGTATGTTTATACACATCGTGGTAGACAAGTGGTTTAATAGAGCTGGCGAAGGATTTCTAATAAAAGTGGCTGGGTAGCTAAAGAGCCGCCCAACCACTTGTACAGGGCTCTCAAAGGGACATCCGTTCCCTGATTCCCTCCTCTGACTAACGACCTTGGAAGCAACATGTATTACGTCACCCCTGGGGTCACAGCTGTCATTCCTTGTTAATGTAGCCAGGAATGCAGCTATTTAAGCCCGACCTGTGTTTTGAATAGCTGCATTGTAGGGCAGGGGAGGCATTGGGGGTGTAATAGACTCTTATTAGCCCTTTGGTTAAATGGAGCACTGTTTAACCACTTGCCTACCGGACACTTATACCGCTTTCCTGCCCAGGCCAGTTTTCAGCTTTTCAGTGTTGTTGCACTTTGAATGACAATTGCACAGTCATGCAACACTGTACCCATATGAATTTTTTTTTTTTTTTTTTTCGGCAAACCGCTTTCTTTTGGTGGTATATAATCACCTCCTGGGCTTTTTTTTTTTTTTTTACACCCATAATCACCGGAAAACGAATAAACTAAAAAATCCTGTCTGCCACTGCAGCAATTTTATTAATGAACTACAAAAGTGTTAATTAGCGCCTTTGTAGCCCATTGACACTTACTACGGTTCAGTAACTGCCCACACAGAGGTAAGGGCAGAGATCTGTACAAAGTGTCTGCATGAGAGAAAAAAATAAATACATTTTTTTATTTGGAAAAACATGCATTTATTTAGTTCTTTTTACACAAAGGTGAATGTAGCCTTTAAAGTTGTCTCTGTGTAACCTATTAATGCCTATCTCCATGCAAATATACACTGCTCAAACAAAATTAAAGGAACACTTTGAAAACATATCAGATCTCAATAGGGCAAACTATCATGCTGGATATCTGTACTGATATGGACTGGGTAATGGGTTAGGAACATAAGGATGCCCCATTGTTTGATGAAATAGATCAACCTACAGCGAACTGAATTCAAAGACGCCCCAAAAATCAAAATGAAAAAAATGATACAGCAGGCTAGTCCATTTTGCTGAAATTTCATTGCAGCAACTCAAAATGGTACTCAGTATTTTTTATGGCTGCCCCATGTGCTTGTATGCATGCCTGACAATGGCGGGGCATGCTCCTAATGAGACGACAGATGGTGTCCTGGAGTATTTCTTTCCAGATCTGGACCAGGGCATCACTGAGCTCCTGGACAGTCTGAGGTGCAACCTGGTAGTGTCGGATGGACAGAAACATGATATCCCAGAGGTGTTCTATTGAATTTAGGTCAAGCGAGTGTGGGGGCCATTCAATGGTATCAATGCCTTCATCCTCCAGGAACTGCCTGCATACTCTTGCCACCTGAGGCTGGGTATTGTGCACCAAAAGAAACCCAGGACCCACTGCACCAGCGCAGGCTCTGACAATGGGTCCAAGGATTTCATACTGATACCTAATGGCAGTCAGGGTGCCATTGTCTAGCCTATAGAGGTCTGTGCATCCCTCCATGGATATGCCTCCCCAAACCATCACTGACCTACCACCAAAACAGTCATGCTGAACGATGTTATAGGCAGCATAACATTCTCTACATCCTTTCATGTCTCTCACATGTGCTCAGGGTAAACCTGCTCTCATCTGTGGAAAGCACAGGGTGCCAGTGGCAGACCTGACAATTCTGGTGTTCAATGGCAGATGCCAATTGAGCTCTATGGTGCCAGGTAGTGAGGACATCGGGCCCTTAGGCCACCCTCATGAAGTCTGTTTCTGGTTGTTTGGTCAGAGACATTCACACCAGTGGCCTGCTAGAGGAGCAGATACTGGTCCTGCTGATGAGTTAAGGACCTTCTACAGCCCTGTCCAGCTCTCCTAGAGTAACTGCCTGTCTCCTGGAATCTCCTCCATGCTCTTGAGACTGTGCTGGGAGACACAGCAAACCTGGCAATGGCACGTATTGATGTGCGATCCTGGAAGAGTAGGACTGTCTGTGCAACCGCTGTAGGGTCCAGGTATTGACTAGATCAATATGCCAGGAGTTGAATTGACTTGATGCTATACTCTGAATAAAAAGTGTTCCTTTAATTTTTTTGAGCAGTGTATATATTTTTTTAATTTTGGATAAAGCTGGAAACTGATTTTAACCTCTCAAATATTTCCCCCCCATTTTCTACATCTCTTTTTGGGAGGTTGCTTCCTCAGTCCTTTGTATCTATCAGATCAGAAAGTGAGAGAAAAGTCAAATGTAAATATGTATAACTGAATAATAGAACGTTTGTCAGATTTTTTTTTTCTGTGGTCTGCATTCCCACTGCAAAGATTATCCTGTTCAGGCAGAATGAGGGAAAAACCTCAATGGAAACACAGGCAGCAGTTAAAGTGGTGTTAAACCCAAAAGCAAACAATTATATTGCAGCTTTCAAATTCTTAGATGCAATGGCTGCATTATTTTCTTTTTAGGCTTTCTTTCTTCTGTTTTCATCTGGTGATCCAGCCAGCGAGTTTTTCAAAAGTGGCATGAATGTATCAGTTTACATGGATGAGACAAACCACCCATCAGTGGCAGGGTTAAAATTATCAGCTTTTAATTTATTCATGCAAAACCTTTATCCCAAAAGGAAAAAAAAAACGGTTTGCTGTAAGTGATTAAAAAGTGTGAGAACTTTAGTTTGGCTTCAGTTTGTTTAGAGTATTTACATGTGCTTTAACACTCCCCTCCCCCTCAGACTACAATGCTGTTCTCTGTGGTGCCTCCTGTGCTCATTCCTTCAGAGTTGTGTCTCACTAATGCCAGTGGTTTGTTACTGGCCAGTTCACTAGGTGAAAATAGGAAAAAAGCCAACCCCCAACACTGAGGCAGCCACCACATCCAATGATTGATAAGCTGCAATAGAATACATTTTTGGTTTAATACAGCTTTAAAACATGAGAGACGTTCCAGCCCATATCTGGCTATATCAAATACAAATTCTGTCCCGAATTGGTCTTAAAACAATTCTGAACACTGCCCATGGTTTCCTAACTGAATGACCATGTTAGAATTAGTCTCACAACATGTGTAGGTATCAGTGCCATAGCAAGTACACAGTTTGTTTTTAAAGCTAATGTATGCAGATGCATAATGGCTACTATACAGTTGCAAGAAAAAGTATGTGAACCCCTTGGGATTACGTGGAGTTTTGCATGAATTGGGCATAAAATGTGCTCTGAATGTCATCTAAGTCACAACAATAGAAGAACACAGTCTGCTGAACATAATACTATACAAACATGTTGCCATGGTTTAATTGCACATAACATGTAAACATTCACAGTGCAGGGAGGAAAAAGTATGTGAACCTTTGAACCCCTTTTGGCAGCAATACTCAACCAACTGGTTGCAGATGACCCTCCACAACGATTGGCAGCAATCTTCAACAGTGTAGCAATATTCTTGGGATCAATTGCCAACCTCCCTGGCGGTATTCCGTTGTAGCTCGGTAGTTTCAGTACCAAAAGCGGTAACCCCGATCACTCGAATACCATGCGCATGTGTTCAACGACCCTGCGCTCCCACGATGTGGAGTAATTTGGCCGATGGACCGGCTTCTGTGTCCTGTCCCTGTGACACTAAAAAATGTCCTCTTCACAGTAAAACATTGCTGTTTCAAAACATTTTGTCCCTAGTGCTTTGTTTCATTTTAGCAATATTCTTGGGATGTCTGGTGTGAATTGCTGCTCTCTTAGACCTCCCTGGCGGTATTCCCGAGTGTAGGTACCAAAAGCGGTAACCCCGAGCTACAATCAACTCGGGGAATACCATGCGGCGCTGCTGCTGGCCACTGCCACAGCATTTAAATCGGGTTGAAATCAGGTCAGGACTCTGACGTGGGGGAAAACCACTCAGCAATGTGCGAACTTGGCGCTCTAGAAGTGTTTTTGTTTGATTATATTATGTGCTTTTTGCATATTATTTTTATGCCATTGTTTTTGTTGAACTACCCGGGATGTTTATAGCTTTGGGTTTTTCCTATTACAGTCCTGTTGCATCACCGCTTTCATCCTCTGCCAGGAGGTTAAGGTCATGCTTTAAGTTGGGTACAGATGGGCCACTCATACTGTTTTGCCCATGCAAAATTGTATGTCTTGTCCTGTTGCATCAACTCTCTGGAATTCATTGGTCATCCCTGCATCAATGGACAACAATCCGTCCATCCAGGCCCTGAGGCAGCAAAGCAGCCCCAAACCATGATGCTCCCTCCGCTATGTTTTACAGTGGGGATGAGGTTTTGATGTTGGTGTGCTGTGCCTTTTTTTCTCCACACACACAGTGTTGTGTGTTCTTCCCAAACAACTCAATCTTGGTTTCATCTGTCCACAGTATATTTTGCCAGTAGTGCTGTGGAACATCCAGGTGCTCTTTTGCAAACTTCAAACGTGCTGCAATCTTCTTTTTGGACAGCAATGGCTTCCTCCGTGGTGTCCTTCAATGTACTCCATTCTTGTTTAATGTTTTCCTTATTGTAGATGTGTCAACAAAAATGTTAGCATGTGCCAGAGATTTCTGTAGGTCTTTAGCTGACACTCTGGGATTCTTCTTTACCTCATGCAGCATTCTGCGCTGTGCTCTTGCAGTCATTTTTACAGGACGACCACGCCTAGGGAGAGTAGCAGCAGTGCTAAACTTTCTCCATTTGTAGACAGTCTGTCTTACTGTGGACACATGAACATCAAGGCTTTTGGAGATACTTTTGTAACCCTTTCCAGCTTCATGCAAGTCAACAATTCTTGATCGTAGGTCTTCTGAGAGCTCTTTTCTGAGAGGCATGGTTCACATCAGACAGTGCTTCTTGAAACAAGTAAACCCAAAACAGGTGTGTGTTTTTTAAGGGCAGGACAGCTGTCAGCAACACATCCAATATCATCACACTGATTGGAGTCAAGGTTGGCTCACTCCTGGCTCCAATTAGCTCTGGGAGAAGTCATTAAGCTAGGGCCTCACATAATTTTTCCTCCCTGCACTGTGAATGTTTACATGTTATGTGCAATTAAACCATGGCAACATCTAATGTTTGTGTGTATTATGTTCAGCAGACTGTGTTCTTCTATTGTTGTGACTTAGATGACGTTCAGAGCACATTTTATGCCCAATTCATGCAAAACTCCACGTAATCCCAAAGGGGTTCACATACTTTTTCTTGCAACTGTATATCACCTTGCACATATTCCAGCCTGGTGTACAGTAACAAACATTTGCCGTAGCACAGGTAAACTCACAAAGCAAAAATGATTTGTAAAAATTGTTTTTTTTTTCTGGCACATAAAAAAATCTTGACATATAAAGCTCTTCTGTTTCAGTTTACATTCACAAAAAGGCATGACTATGGTACAAGTGCGTCTTGCAAAAGCCTTCAATCCAACCAGTTAAATAGAATTAATAATTCTATGGAGCAATAAACCATTTTAAACAGAAAAATCAGATGCCCATCTAAACATGTTAGTGCAATCTCAGGAGCACGTAAGCAGAATTGTCCTGCTTTGGTGTCACATTTTTAACAATTAACAGCTTTCCTCTCTGGTCTCAGAAGGTAGCATCAGTCACAAAATGATAAAATACTGCTTGTCCATTGTGAATTACATTCCATTGTAAGCAGGTCCACCGCCTCCTTCTGGCACAACCCAGTTAATATTCTGACTTGGATCTTTAATGTCACATGTCTTGCAGTGGACACAGTTCTGTGCATTGATCTGCAACCGTGAGCCTTCACCTGATTCTAGCGGAACAAATTCATAAACACCTGTATAAAGAAAAAGATAATCTGTTAAGCTGTACAACTTGATAGTAACCATTTCTAGATGTCACCAGGAATCTCACACCATTTTATCCCTTCATAGTCCTCTACCCCAGCACATTATGATTTAAAACAGTTTACTTAGAAATGCCTTAAATACATTTCTTTCTCGTCTATTGAGGAACAAGAAGTCTTTAACCTTTGGGTTATACTGCCGGCTACAGGAGTACTGGATACTACAAAATAAATAAGCCAGCCCTGGATAACCCCAACTTTTTTTTTCATGTCCGAAGAGGATGGATGCGTTTTCTTTAGGTCTAATGGGAAGAGTCTCAAACCTAGTTTTACTAGCAATCTCTTTTCATGCCTGATGGTTCTGTACTTTGCTGCTAGAGCTGGTCTTTTTGATGTAGTTCATCCAGACATCCTGAGTCTAGCTTTTGGAGTACTGTGATTGAACCCTGCTGAAAGTTGTGAGAAGTTCACCTTTTTGGCAAAAATAATAAATGCACTTTTATTTGCAGGTAAAAAATGTGCATTTATTATTTTTGTCTACAGGAGCCTGGAAAGCATTGCACCAGTGATCAGTAGATCGCTGATGCCACGCAGGTCTTCTGCAGACCTGTCATATCATCTGCATGCCGTACGGGATGCATCCTGAAAGTTCACTGAAAACTACAAGCTGACAGCTGCTAAGGCTGCTGGGACTTGTAGGCACTCATTCACAGACCTCTGTAAATGAGTGATGCGGCTACGTGGGCGGAGCCCCTGAACGGCCATGCTGTTTTCAAATCTGACAGATAGTACGGGGAAACTTCTCCTGTACTACCTGTCTGAGGGAGGGGGGGCAGCAGGTGTGGCTGCAGCTATGGGAACATGTTACATATTCCAACCTAAAAACGGGTGAAACATGTAGCATGTTCCCAAACGTGAACATATCCTTAAGTGAAGCAGTACTTTCCAGATCCAGTTCCGCTGACATTGCCTCAGTGCTTCCCCTCACGCTGTGAATAGGCTAATTGAGCTGAGCACTGGGACGCACCTCGTTTGCTTTTACAGCTTATAGCCTTTAAAATACCCACTTTCTGCCAGTTCTGCAGAACAGGTTGGTGTGAGGGTCTGAGCACCTACATCGTCCAGGAGGTGAAGTGGCCCACATCCATGCACTCTTCCCTGTTATTCTGCATCTGGGAAGCTTCTCTCTATTGTTGCTCCTGCATGGCAAAAAGCCACTCCAATCTTCTGTCCTTTTCAGCCGCCTGCCTACTGTGGCCCACAGTCACCTCTGGCCATTCGACCCTCACCTGCTACCAGCTGTTTGGGTTTTGTAAGTAACTGAGGACTTTCCTTGTGCTTAAAGTGTTACTAAACCCACAACAGTAAAATCAGTCTGTATATGCAGTAAAGCATGCTTGTTATAGTCACTGTGAACCTAAGAGGTTAATCCTCTGCATTGTATAAAAAGGCTGTTTGATCCTGACTTCTCTGCTCCTCCTCTTGTTCAAATGTCCACGTCTTATCAGGACTGAACCGTAGCCAATCAGCACTGTCCAGACAGAGGTCAGGGGTCCTGCATCCTCCTAGAGAAGAAAGAAAACCACCTACAAGCTTTAACATGTGCTCTACTGAACACTGATAGAAGTCACAAGATTGCTCCAACTGCTGATGAGAAAATGTATTTAGCAGTTTATATTTACTAAAATAATAGGACTTCCATGTTCTGTGGACTGTGGGAGACCAAATATAGTGAATGCAGGATCCGGGGTTTAGTAACATTTTAAGTGTTACATTGCCTAACTGTCATGTGTGATTTTAGATGGGGTGGGGGAAAGGGATGGCAGTCTTGCTGTACTGGGTGCTTCCAGCTCACACTCTGCTAAAGACGCTGATGCTGCTTGAAGCATAACCACCAGTGCAGTTGATCTCTGCAGCCTGGAATCATGTTACCTTCTTCTCCCTCATCTTTCCTAGCTCTGTTGGATGTGGACAGCTACTCCCCTCATGCAAGACGTTATGGCAAAAATCCCCAGAAGCCCTTAACTGCAGAATGCACAAGTTTGCGCTCATGCCTTTCCCTGCAGTTTGTGTATGTGATCTGCCTATGGCCAACAGCTTCTGAGACTGATTCCGAGTCAATCCGGGCTTGCTTTAGAATGTCAGTTTTCTGAAATAACTCCCAACATGAAATTCTACCAAACCCTTAGACAAACCTTCCCTGACATGTAGGTGTACCTCCAGCTCCAAAGTGGATGATGTGCGATGTTAGCCTTTGTGCTTGGGTGCAGGAAGCAGTTTCCTGGAGCTACAAGCTGGAATTTCACCCCCCAGTCCTCTACTTGTTTTCTCATTTCCAACCTTTTTGTGTCTACACAGAACTGCAGATCTCCATGTAGCCCTTTTGGGTGTCATCGCCCTAGTTTCTGTGGTAAAAAAAAGCTTCAGGGGTTTTATTCCATCTGGTTTATGGTTCCTAACCCAAAAGAGCACAGATATTCTGCATGTAATCCACCAGGTTTGTCATCTCCTCCCTGGAAATTCCTGGCTTATGTGAACATCAACATACCTACATGTCCCCATTCTTCCAAAGCACCAGCATTTCCTAAGCCTTGCTGTGAGCACTCTACATTTTCAGTGTGTGGCCCTGTTATGTCAGCCCTTCATCTGCATCCTGGGTGTTCACAAAGGTGCTGGCCCCATTACTAGCCCTACTGTGCTCTTGTGGCATATTTAGCCAGCGGGTGCAGGCTCTTTCAGACAATGTAGCCTTGACTGTACAGACATTACAATGGTTTCCATGGATCCTGAACCTTCATAAATCAGCACTGGAACCAACTCATCACTTGTAAGTATCAGGGTCTAGTTCTAGACACAACTCAGGACAGACTATTTCTCAGGAGACAATTCAGATTCACTGCTACAAGACCCATGCCCTTCAATCCACGAATCGTCCGACTCTGCTTTTGCGCAAGAATCCTAGTTCTGATGGCAGCCTCCTTTGAGGCATTGCGATTTGACAGTCACTCCAGGCCCTTACAACTCAGCATCCTGTCATCAAGGGACTGTCAATCCAGTCCCCAAAACAGAGCGTTTCATTTGGCACAGAGGAGTAGGTTGTTCCAGACTTTGTGCCCCAGGAACCTGGTTCTGGAAACAGAGCAGTTCAGTTCAGGGTCTAAACTGGCAGCTTTATCTTGCAAAGAACGCTTTCAGGTCTTGCACAAGGACAGGGTTGTGTTAAGTTCCAAAACTTTCTAAGGTAGTTTGTGTTTCACCTTATCCAAGACATTGTTCTTCCTTCCCCCTTTCCAGCTCCAGGTCACTCAAAGGAAATTTCCCTCTACTGTCTGGATGTGGTTCGGACTATGTGAATATTTCTCAGCCACTGCTTCTTTCAAAAAGACCAATTCCCATTTTGCTACCCTGGATGGTCCCCACAAGGGTACACCAGCCTCTCATTCCACCATTCCATGGTGGTTCAGACAGATTATTATTCAAGCTTATAGTCTCAAGAATCAGGTTCCACCCTTTCTGTCAAGGAGCAATCAACTATATTTGTGAGTGCTTCTTGGGCTTTTTGGCATCAGACTGCTGCTTCGTCTTTCTGGAGTGACAAATCACGCTTCACTGTCTGGCAATCCGATGGATGTATCTGGGGTTGGCAGTTGCCAGGAGAACGGTACTTGCCTGACTGCACTGTACGAAGTGTAAAGTTTGGTGGAGGGGTGATTATGGTGTGAGGTTGTTTTTCAGGGGTTGGGCTTGGCCCCTTAGTTCCAGTGAAGGAAAATCTTAAGGTGTCAGCATACCAAGACATTTGGGACAATTTTATGCTCACAACTTTGTGGGAACAGTTTGAAGATGGCCCCTTCCTGATTCCAACATGATTGCACACCAGTGCACAAAGCAAGATCCATAAAGACATGGATGAGCGAGTTTGGGATGGAGGAACTTGACTGGCCTGCACTTCAACCTGATAAACACCTTTGGGATGAATCAGAGCAGAGACTGTGAGCCAGGCCTTCTCGTCCAACATCAGTGCCTGACCTCACCAATGCACCTCTGGAAGAATGGTCAAACATTCCTATAGACAGACTCCTAAACCTTGTGGACAGCCTTCCCAGAAGAGTTGAAGCTGTTATAGCTGCAAAGGGTGGGTCAACTCAATATTGAACCCTACGGACCAAGACTGGGATACCATTCAAATTCATGCGTGTGTAAAGGCACAATACTTTTGGCAATATAGTGTATATTTTTTTTAATTGTAAGAGAAGGACAAATGTTAGGGATTTTTTTTTTGTGAGGACTTAGGAAGAGTGCAATTTCTCTTTAAACACAGACTTGCTTTTTTTTTTTTCATTTACAACAAGCTACTTACCTGCAGGACAGAATCTCTGCTCTGGGCCATCATATACAGCTAAGTTCTTATTCACCGGTACACTGTCATTTCGTAGTGTCAGGTGTGCTGGTTGATCGTGCTCATGATTAGTACCACTCAGTGCCACAGATGACAGCAGGTCAAAACTTATTTTCCCGTCAGGTTTAGGGTACTCAATAGGAGTGCAATCCTTAGCTGGCTTGAGCTGATTACAATCTAAACCTGGTGAGAAATTAAAAAATAATAAACACGTGCAAGGAAATAATTACTGTAGAACTTTAGTGGCCCGCAGTTTTTTTTTTTGTGTCAGGTAAAATTTGGAGGAATTGGATAGCTACCTGGTTTGCAGTTACTGGAAATAAGAAAATCTTAACAACAGAAACATGAAAATAAGTAAAAAATCTTTCTCGAGTATTAAAGGAAACCTGTGAATGAAATGCAGGGGCTCTCATTGCTGACCTCCCCTTAAGACTACTCAGTTACATGAAGCATGAAGAGAGGAAAGTCAGACTGATGTCAAAACTTCTGATCTGCATACTTGTTCTTGGTCAGTGCATCAGAAAGTACTGAGACAGGAGATCAAAAATGACAGCCAAGCAACTAGTATTTTCAGAAGAAAAAGGGGCAGCAATGGCAGCCTCCTTAGACTCTCTTTACAGTTTTTCTTTAAGCTATCTAAAATGATGTTTCTGCAGTTAGTAGGTAAACGTAATTATTCTAAGTGAAATATGGGGGCTGCTATCAGAGTTTTTCCTTGTGAAGTTGCTACCGTGACTATGCTACTACACCTCCACCTTCATTAGTTAAAACCATTGACCCAGAACAACAATGCATTTGAAGACAGTGGACCTTTCCTAACTTTCTTGATCTGAATACTTGTCGTACATCAGCAATTCAGAAAAGTATAATAAGCTAGTGGGTCAGCAAAACAGTCAAGTAACTAGCATTTTCAGAAAGAGGTCAGCAGCCCAGCCATTTTATTCATGACAGGTAAAAACTGAACTTTGGATAAAAGGGTTTTGGTAGTGACCTTCATTGTTTTCACACAATTACCTTTATGTGTAAGTGTCCAAGGCTCTTTCCCTCTTAGTATCCAGTAGAAAATGCCAGTGTAGACCATGCCACCATACAATCCAAAAATGCTGTGGCAGGAAGGTCTAATATTTCTCACTGAGTAGAGCTCCTTCCAGACCCATGACTTCCTTAGGTTCTCTTCATACTCTGGAACACTGAGCCCTAAATCACAAGAATAAAGCAAATATACAGCTATTTCTAGATTATGTGGCACAGCCTCACAAATGCATTTTTATTAGTCAAGTTACACAATTAAAAATGATCTAAGGACCAGTACTAAATAAACTGGAAAAGAATGCAATAAACAGAATTAAAAAGTATTGAGTTTTCAAACCTTGAGTACTTGACTGGAGGTTTTCATCTGTCAGATGTTTAAAGATGGATTCTGCGGCCAGCATACCACTCTTCATTGCTGTATGAGTACCTTTAATCTTCGGTACATTCATGAACCCAGGACTGCAACCAACCATCACACCACCAGGGAATGTCAGTTTTGGTAAAGACTAGAAATGAAAAGCATATATATGTCTAAAAATTAGGATTTATTTCTCTCACCAGCTTTGGATGTCTTAAGTGGAACAGTTTTTTTTTTTTTCAGCTGTGCGGTTTTCAATTATTATTGTACCATTTATGGTAAAGTACTATTGAAACTGACATATTTAATAAAGAGTTTCCCTCTAGCGGTCATATGCATGTCTGGAAAGCATTCACTGCGGTAAAAGTTATTATTTCCTATATTTGACAAGCCTTTACTGTACATTTAATGACACCAAGTACACTATAACTACACATGCCTTATAACTGCTTAAAGACCGCCCTATAGCAGATGTACTGCTACAGGGTGCCACCTGTGTGCAAAATCACGTGTATATATACACGATTTTGCATTGCTGGGTAGGGGGTGTGCGTGAGCCACGTACGCACCCTACCCGCGCCACCATTTGCAGCTACAGGTGTCATTCACCGGGTCCCGGCCGGTAATTACCCGCCGGCGCCTGATGATTACCAACAATCACTTACAAACAGTCTTCCTCCATGTCAGCTCGAGCGCACTGCTCAGGATGGCTGTGCACAGCACAACCATCCCGTTCAGTGTGCTTACAGTAAAGAACACACCCCTGCCCCCTAGTAAAACATTCCCAGCACATAGTTAATCCTTTGATTAACCCTCACATTAACCCCTTCCTGCCCAGTGCCATTAGTATAGTGTCAGTGCTTTTTTTTTTTTTTTAGCACTGATCACTGTATTGGTGGCACTGGGGATGACAGTGGCACCAAGTTAATTCCCCCCCCCCCCCCCCCAGTGTCAGAATGTCCGCTGCAGTTCTGCTAAAAGTCGCTCATCGCCGCCATTACTAGTAGAAAAAAAAAAAAATCCCAGTATCTATACAGCCATTTGTAAACGCTATAACTTTCACGTAAACCAATTAATTTACACGTATTGGGAATTTTTTTTAGCAAAGACATGTTGCAGAATACATTTTGGTCTAAATTTATGATGAAATTTGATTATTACTGGACATGTTTTATAGCAAAAAGTCCAAAATATTGTTTTTTTCTCAAAATTGTTGGTCTTTTTTTGCTTATAGCACAAAAAATAAAAAATTCCACAGGCGATCACATACCGCCAAAATAAAGTTCAATTCATGAGAAAAAAGGACATAAATTTCATTTGGGTGCAGCATTGCATAACCATGCAATTGTCCATTAAAATAACGCAGCGCAGCAACGCAAAAAATGGCCTGGGTCATGAAGGGGGAGGGGGGGTAAATCCTCAGGAGGGCAAGTGGTTAATGACTGCTGAGATAAAATTAAGTTAGCATTTTTGGCTGTTTATGGTTTTGCGAGAGATGGACCATACTTTCCAAAAGTAGAAACATTTTTGCACGCTAGTAGCATACAGCTATTTACAAAGTATAACTTGCAGACTTATGGGATCGGGGAGATGTTTTTTTCCACTAAAGCTATTGGGAATATAGGCCTAAGCTGCCTACATGCAAGGAACTAAAGGCTGCAGGGAGCCAGTTATAGTTAGGCCTCATGCACTCAGGGTGTCAGTTTTAGCCACTCTTAACATCAGAACTCCTGGCAGGAGAAAAGATGCATATAAATGCAGTAAAAAAATGCATATTGTACATGTGTTTAGGCTGTCAACTGTTTGAGCGTTAATGGATTCCACTGGCCAAAATATTAACTTATTATGACCACTGGAATGCATTCACACTCAAATACTAGACACGTCTAGCATGTAGGCTAGTTAAGCGTTTGTTTTGCTCTTCAGCCCCTTTACTGAGTACACCTTTGGTAGGTTTTTCTTTTCCAAGCCTGTAAATACTCTTCTTCTAATGCACCTGTAAACAATAATATGTGCATGGACACATAGGCTTACACAAAGGTGCTTTTACAGGCTAAAAAAAAAAAAAAAAAAAAAAAAAAAAAAAAGCCTCTAAAAGCGGTGTTTTTTTTAAGCCCAGTGTATGAGGTCTCATGAAACACTGCATTTACTGCAGAGCATGAAACCTTTATTGTTCCATTCCTTAACCGTTTCAATACCGTGCAATTTTACACCTTCCTGCCCAGGCCAGTTTTCAGGTTTCAGCGCTCTCACACTTTGAATGACAATTGCGCGGTCATACAACATTGTACCCAAACTAAAATTTGATAATTTTTTTCACACAACTAGAGCTTTCTTTTGGTGGTATTTAATCACCGCTGGGGTTTTTATTTTTTGCTAAATTAACAAAAAAAGACCAAAAATTTGGAAAAAAAAACACATTTTTCTTTGTTTCTGTTATAAAAGTTTACAAATAAATAATTGTTCTTCATAAATTTAGGCCGAGATGTATTCTGCTACATGTCTTTGGTGAAAATAACCCAAATTAGGATGTATTTTTTAGTTTGTAGGAAAGTTATAGAGTTCACAAACTATGGTATAGATCTGAATATTGATCAATCCTGAAGTACTGACAGCCAATCTAATTTCTTGAGGTCCAAGAATGTCAGAATAGTACAGATATCCCCCAAATGACCCCTTTTTGCAGAGTAGACAGTCCGACGTACTTCATAAGAGGCATGGCGAGTTTTTTGAAGTTGTATTTTTTTGTCATAATTTTTCAGGAAAATGAAAAAAATTAAAAAAATTATTTTCACTATTTTTTTTACATACTGTCACCAGTGCAGTACAGCGTCATCATATAACTGGCATGGCGGTGAGCAGCGACACTGACTGGTGACAGTATGAAAAAAAAAAAAAAAATTTTTTTATTTTTTATTATATTTAATTTTTTATTACTTTTTTTTTTATTTTTTTTAAGATTTTTTTTCATATTTTACTATGACCAAAATAGTACAATGTTACCATAGTAACACTGTACTACTTTGGGGAAGTGATCAGTATTTTTTTTTTTTTTTTACACAATTTGCTTATAGCAAAGAATTACTTTGCTATAAGCAAGCATTTACCTGAATGAAATCGATTCATTCAGCTTTTTTTTTTTTTTTTTTTTTTTTTTTTGTGCTTAGCTGTGATTTGGTCACAGCCAATCACATGACATGTGCATGTGATTAGCTGTGACCATTCACAGCTAGGCACTAGTATACAATGGATGGCATCAGAATGAAGCCATCCATTGTATACAACTGTCATGTGACCTGCTGTGATTGGTCACAGCAGGTCACATGGTACCGGCAACGGGAGCCGGTACTCGGATCTGTCATCGGCCGTGTCCGAGGTGCACGGGCGGTGACAGATCGCACTGCTGCGTCGCTCTGCAACCGCGCAAACCGCGCATGTGCGGGAGCACGCCAAATGGCGTGCACCCGGAAAGCTGCAGCGCTTTTCAAGCCGCCAAACGGCTATTGGCCGGACGGGTAATGGTTAAGGCACCTTATGTACTCCTAAAATCTAATCCACATCACCTCAATGCCAATCAAAACCAGTTAATTACATTGTCCATCCCCTCTCTGTTTGCTAATGGAGTCCACCTTCCCAAGAAAAGCTACCCAAATACCAACCTTTATCAAAGTCTTCATTTGCCTACCCCTCCCACCAATGGTCCCACCACACAGAAAAGAGTGAAGTTACCTGGAATCCACCTTCATTAAGTGCTCGCGCTCCATAAGCAATCCTTGTTCCACCTTCCAGAGTAGGGGCCACACTGGGGTGATGTTTCCATCTTTGAAATTCTCTGAAGGGGCTCAGATATGGATTCTGATAATCTAGACCAACCTGAAAAAAACCCAATTACATAGGACGCCAATCTTAGCAAAACTACAATGTACTGTAGTTGTCACATTACAATTGGTGTGTGTGTGTGTGTGTGTTTGTAAAGCAAAATTTGTAACCTATAAGCATTGGCACATGTAACAGTCTCCCAATTATCCAGGAAAATGTTTCTAGGAGAAACATTGAGTCTGCTGTTGCTGACTTATCATTCCGTAAATGCTAGTTGCCTCATGGTCATGCCAACCCTCTGACTTCAATATCCCAGGACACAAACCTTACACTTACTTTTTGATATTAATACTTGTTCCAGGTCAGCGACTCAAACTGAAGTGTCTGAGCAACTAGTATATTCAAAAGAAGGTCAATACTGGTAGCCTCCATCTCTCTCTAAGAAAGGGTTTACTTTTACTTGTACAATTTACCTTGGCACCATCCCCCTGCAAGTCCCTGAACATCATCAGCTGGGAGATGAGACATTGCTGTATAGCAGTCACACAATTTCAAGTGCTGTAAACCTGTCAATTTAATGTGGAACGTAATGGCTCTGAAATTACCACCTCCTGCCCCTCTTCCACACTACCATTCCTTTTAAACATTGTGTGTGCTGATGCACCACTGGTCTTTTCCAGGAATTTGGGAACTGGCAGAGACCGGCAGCAGACTGCAGCATGTACGCACAAACGCTGCCAGCTTCTAGTCGATGGGCACTTTAGTGCCCTACAGCATTTTGTGCATGCACAAATGTCACAAACGTACAGCTTTGTAGCACACTGCCTCTTGGGTTAGCTATGATGTAGCAATCCCAGGAAGCAGCGGGGCCTGATGTAGGCCTGATACCCAAAATCAACAAAATGGTAAAAAGAAAACAAAACACAAAAAAAAAGAAAATACATATTTACAGCATTTGTGTAAGAGGGAGGGGGTAGGGACAAAAAATTACATTATTGTTTAGATGAGTTAAGTTCCACTTTAAGCCGTCTGGTTGGAGGAGAGAACACAGAGTTGCCACCATTAGTGAACTGATGAGCGTTTCTATGCAATCAGTCCTGACCAAGCTGTATTGCTTTGATTGAAGTAGTGAAAAGTGAATGGTCTGGATCTTGGTGTAGTGTCTGGATGAGTTTTCCTGATTAGAAAACTGGCTATGAAGAATTGTAGTTTCTTCTTTTTGGAAGGTAAAAAAAAAAACAGTTCATCTGTCTGTATGTCTCCTTTTACACTTTAAGCAAACATAATAGTATTCTAAGTGAAATAATAAACCAAGTATACTGTGCATGGTTCATTTTTGTAAATCTTTCACTACAATAGCCACTGCAGCTCCTTTGAACAGGATTCTAAGAAAGACGGCAATTTAAATACAGGTGAAACTCGAACAATTAGAATATATTTATTTCAGTAATGCAACTTAAAAGGTGAAACTAATATATGAGATAGACTCATTACATGCAAAGCAAGATAGTTCAAGCCATGATTTGTCACAATTGTGATGATTATGGCTTACAGCTCATAAAAACCCCAAATCCACAATCTCAGAAAATTAGAATATTGTGAAAAGGTGCAATATTCTAAGCTCAAAGTGTCCCACTCTAATCAGCTAATTAAGCCATAACACCTGCAAAGGGTTCCTGAGCCTTTAAATGGTCTCTCAGTCTGGTTTAGTAGGAATCACAATCATGGGAAAGACTGCTGACCTGACAGTTGTTCAGAAAACCATCATTGACACCCTCCATAAGGAGGGAAAGCCTCAAAAGGCGATTGCAAAAGAAGTTGGATTTTCCCAAAGTGATGTATCAACGCACATTAATAGAATGTTACAGTGGGGATCGAAAGTTTGGGCACCCCAGCTAAAAATTTTGTATATTAATGTGCATAAAGAAACCAAGGAAAGATGGAAAAATCTCCAAAAGGCATCAAATTACAGATTAGACAATTCTTATAATATGTCAACAAAAGTTAGATTTTATTTCCATCATTTACACTTTCAAAATAACAGAAAACAAAAAAATGGCGTCTGCAAAAGTTTGGGCACCCTGCAGAATTTATAGCATGCACTGCCCCCTTTGCAAAGCTGAGACCTGCCAGTGTCATGGATTGTTCTCAATCATTGTCTGGGAAGACCAGGTGATGTCAAGCTCAAAGGTTTTAAATGCCCAGACTCATCTGACCTTGCCCCAACAATCAGAACCATGGGTTCTTCTAAGCAGTTGTCTAGAAAACTGAAACTGAAAAGTAGTTGACGCTCACAAAGCTGGAGAAGGCTATAAGAAGATAGCAAAGCGTTTTTAGATGTCAATATCCTCTGTTCGGAATGTAATTAAGAAATGGCAGTCATCAGGAACAGTGGAAGTTAAAGCAAGATCTGGAAGACCAAGAAAAATATCAGACAGAACAGCTCGCAGGATTGTGAGAAAAACAATTCAAAACCCACGTTTGACTGCACGATCCCTCCAGAAAGATTTGGCAGACACTGGAGTTGTGGTACACTATTCCACTATACTTGTACAAATATGGTCTTCATGGAAGAGTCATCAGAAGAAAAACCTCTTTTACGTTCTCACCACAAAAATCATTGTTTGAACTTTGCAAATGAACATATAGACAAGCCTGATGCATTTTGGAAACAAGTTCTGTGGACCGATGAGGTTAAAATTGAACTTTTTGGCCGGAATGAGCAAAGGTATGTTTGGAGAAGAAGGGGCACAGAATTTAATGAAAAGAACCTCTGTCCAACTGTTAAGCATGGGGTTGGATCAATCATGCTTTGGGGTTGTGTTGCAGCCCAGTGGCACAGGGAACATCTCACGAGTAGAAGGAAAAATGGATTCAATAAAATTTCAGCAAATTTTGGATAGTAACTTAATGCCATCTGTGAAAAAGCTGAAGTTAAAGAGAGGATGGCTTCTACAAATGGATAATGATCCTAAACACACCTCGAAATCCACGGGGGATTACATCAAGAGGCCGAAACTGAAGGTTTTGCCATGGCCTTCACAATCTCCTGACCTCAACATAATTGAAAATCTATGGATAGCCCTTAAAAGAGCAGTGCGTGACAGACAGCCCAGAAAGCTCAAAGAACTGGAAGACTTTTGTAAGGAAGAATGGGCAAAGATACCTCAAACAAGAAAGACTCTTGGCTGGCTACTAAAAGCGTTTACAAGCTGTGATACTTGCCAAAGGGGGCAGTACAAGATATTAACTCTGCAGGGTGCCCAAACTTTTGCAGACGCCATTTTTTTGTTTTCTGTTATTTTTTGAAAGTGTAAATGATGGAAATAAAATCTAACTTTTGTTGACATATTATAAGAAAGTCTAATCTGTAATTTGATGCCTTTTGGAGATTTTTCCATCTTTCCTTGGCTTCTTTATGCACATTAATACAAATTTTTAGCTGGGGTGCCCAAACTTTCGATCCCCACTGTATGTGGAAGAAAAAAGTGTGGAAGAAAAAGGTGCACAAGCAGCAGGGAAGACCGCGGCCTGGAGAGGATTGTCAGGAAAAGGCCATTCAAAAGTGTTGGGGACTTTCACAAGGAGTGGACTGAGGCTGGAGTCAGTGTATCAAGAGCCACCACACACAGACGGATCCTGGACATGGGCTTTAAATGTCGTTTTCCTCTTGTCAAGCCGCTCCTGAATAACAAACAACATCAGAAGCGTCTTACCTGGGCTAAAGAAAAACAGACCTGGTCTGTTGCTCAGTGGTCCAAAGTCCTCTTTTCTGATGAGAGCAACTTTTGCATCTCATTTGGAAACCAAGGACCCAGAGTATGGAGGAAGAATGGAGAGGCACACACTGCAAGATGCTTGAAGTCCAGTGGGAGGTTTCCACAGTCTGTGTTGATTTGGGGAGCCATGTCATCTGCTGGTGTTGGTCCACTATGCTTCATTAAGTCCAGGGTCAACGCAGCTGTCTACCAGGAGATTTTGGAGCACTTCATGCTTCCTTCCGCAGACGAGCTTTATGGGGATGCCGACTTCATTTTCCAGGAGGACTTGGCACCTACCCACACTGCCAAAAGCACCAAAACCTGGTTCAATGACCGTGGGATTACTGTGCTTGATTGGCCAGCAAACTCGCCTGACCTGAACCCCATAGAGAATCTATGGGGCATTGCCAAGAGAAAGATGAGAGACATGAGACCGAACAATGCAGAAGAGCTGAAGGCCGCTATTGAAGCATTCTGGTCTTCCATAACACCTCAGCAGTGCCACAGGCTGATAGCTTCCATGTCACGCCGCATTGAGGCAGTCATTGCTGCAAAAGGGGCTCAAACCAAGTACTGAGTACATATGCATGCTTATACTTTTCAGAGGTCTGATATTGTTCTATGTACAATCCTTGTTTTATTGATTGCATGTACTATTGTAATTTTCTGAGATTGTGGATTTGGGGTTTTCTTTTTTTTTTTTTTTTTTAATTTAAATATTTATTAGTTTTTCATATTATTACAAAAATCCATAAAAAGAGACACAAATACATATAAATATCCATACATTTCTACTCTGTCCCTTCTATTTACCTCTTTTCTATTCCCTTCCCTCCCAACCCACCATTTCCCCCCTTCCCCCCCCCCCCCCCTCTGCAAGATCTCCAATCTCTCTAGGCCCAATAACTTCGAATAACTTCCTAGATTAGAGTTTTCTATATTTCTCTTTCAATCCCGATTTTTCCCATCGTGAATAGTATATTTTCATCCTATCTTCCTGAATATGATAAGATTTTTCCATTCTGCTAATCTGGTTTACCCTATTGATCCAATCCTCCTCCGTTGGTATCTCTACCTTCCGCCAATACTTGGGGATCAACCCTTTTGCAGCACTTAAGTAGTACCATACACCTGATTCCTTATATTTATTTACTGTTGTCTCAACACTATGTAGGAGACAAATGGTTGGGTCTAATCCTATGTCATTTCCAGTTATTTTTTCTATTAATTTGACTATTGTCTTCCAGTAAACCTGAATTTTTGGACATTGCCACCATATGTGAAACACCGTGC